TGAACACAAGACCAAACATGGCAAAACATCAGCTTGCTTGCTTTAATGCAACATGCTTATAAACTCTTTCGAGTTGCTTTTTATAGATCTGGAGATATTGTGTAATTTCTAGTTCTGTCTGCATGGTAATACTCTATTTCTTGAGTTATACTGACAACTAAACTTATTTATATATTCATTTCAGCCACATACTCTGACCTATCTCACCTCTCCAGGGTGTTAAAGTTTCATACTCATGTCCTTCCTTCCTAGTCAAGCATCGTCATTTTCATATCACACCACCTTTTGTTCAGTTATAAAGTTTTTTAAAAATATTTTGCTCTGCATTTCACAAGCCCAATATCATTTTTTAAAAACTCTAGACACAAGATTCACAAGCATTGATTAAATTTCACATTTTACAAAACTCTTAATGCTTATTTCAAATGTTTGGATACAATGCACATAAGTCAAAGATACTTTTGTTCACTAAACTACAATCACCTGTTCGTAATAACACAGTTTAACATCAAAATCGTTCAAAATGTAAGTCACACAAGACATCAAAAATAACTGTGCAGTCACTTAATTAAAACAATGTAACTATCAACTGATACAAGTGCTCAAAATGATAAGTAACTGTTATCATGTTTTAACAATTATCATGCAATATTTCAATTCAATTCAGCTCTATTTTTATAGCACTTTTACAATGTAGATTATGTCAAAGCATCTTAACACAGAAGTTCAAGTAAATTGAAGTTGTGTCAAAATAGAAATGGTGTTACTTGACACTTGATTGCAATGTGACTACTGTGTCACATTACACTTGATGCATAAAAACTGATGTACAATATTACATGTTACAGTTTTTACAGTCGTTTTGCCACAAATTTCAGAAATCTGATGTCAGTTTTCAAAGCTTTAGACACAAAATTCATAATCTTTGCCAAAATTGTGTTTTTGCAAAACTCTTAACTCTCTAATGCTTGGATACAACACACACAAGTCAAAGATACTTTTTTCATTGAACTAAGATCACCTATTCAATATAACACAATCAAACATCAAATTGATCACATTTTAAAACGCAACTCAAATGTTACATTTGAAATAAATGCATATTCATTTACTTAACAGGATCATGATATTATCAACCGATACAAGCACTCACAATGATAAATAACTGCTGCATTATTCTTGATGCGTGGAAGCTGATGTACAATATTACGTTAAGATAATGAAAGCTTTAGGATAGATCAAATGATATCAGTTACCAAAGAAGATCACCCAACTGGACTGCATTATCTATAGATTTCACCCTTATTCCACATTTATGGTTTCTTTGTTCCATCCATGTACCACTTTTACAGACAATGTTTTCATATTTGACATTACTGTACTGTATGTAAGAAAGCCCAATCACTGCAGATCAATGTCAGGCCTGGATTTACATTGACAGAAGGTTCTTTCCAAGATTTCTGAGTAATGAAAACAACACTGGAATGTAAAGGAGAACCTGTGACCACATCCACAAGACCAGACTGATGGAAACACAGATCCCAAAACAGAAATCTGATATATAGAAATATATGCAAATTACATATGTGACATAATAGTTCACATGAATTCTACATATATAAAACATGTCATACATACCATGTATGTCATGCATGTTAAAAAATTGCATTTTTTCAACTATTAGAAAAACAAAAATGTACATAAATGTTACGTAAATACATTATCTATTATGTTATATATTTAACCCCTACAATTATTAATTTGTATATGTGTCCATATGGCTGTATATGAACACACACACACACACACACACACACACACACACACACACACACACACACACACACACACACACACACACACACACACACACATATATATATATATATATATATATATATATATATATATATATATATATATATATATATATATATATATATATATATATATATATATATATATATATATATATATATATATATATATATATATATATATATATATATATATATATATATGATATTGTTGAAAAAAAATGTAAGCAGAGATTTTTGCTCTGTTTTGACAAAATACTGACTATTATGACATTTTATATAGGCTACAGTATGTGGAATCCAGTTGAAATTTGCATATGTTGCCATATATCATGTCATATATCGGCTTTCTAATTGGGGATGTGCAGTGAGAAAGAAATTACAGTAAACACAATATGATGGAATAAATAAAAGTAGATCGGTGTTTACACTGTCTGCACTGTTCCCTCTACACTTATACATAAACCATGATGAAACCTGTATTATATATTTTAAACAACAATATTTAATCATTGTTAAAGAGTGTTTATCGAAACAATGTGCATCTTGTGTGCTAGTAATCGAAAGTTGTGTTCCTGTATTATTTGTATAATAAAAGGATAATGTGAATCAATGATCCTGCAAATGCAAGACTTCTTTAAGGAAACGAATGCAGCATGCAGGAGTTTTGAACAATGGAGAGTCTGTGTTAAAAGTAGAGACTGTTTAGAGTTTTGTGTCTAGAGTTTTAAAAAATGGACATCAGTGTTGTGAAATTTGCGGCAAAACAATTGGAAAAAAAACTGGCATAAACCAAACGACAGCAGACAACACAGATGACTGATTCTGGAGTATATTATTTATACTGTAGATGCCATATTTCATCTGTATTCTTTATCAGATATGTCCTATGGTCCAGTGTACCCCTTTTACAGACAATGTTTTCAAATTTGACATTACTGTATGCAAGAAAGCTCAACGTCAGGCCTGATTTTTTTTTTTTCTACTATTTGTTTTAAGCTCTCAGCTGCAGACAGTTTTTCTTGCTAAAAGTTAAATAAAACTAAATGTGACGAATGTTGATCAAAAATGTTGTTCTGGGTGACTTTAAATGACACTTTCTGTAATATTTTACGATGAGGGACAAGACTGCTTTGATGCACTTACTCTGTAAAATTTTCCTTACACGTCATGCAGTAAAATAACAAGATGAACCGATGCTGTCCTCTGCTGGCAAAAGTTGGTGATGCGATAGTTAAAATTGAGAACCGGTTCTCTTTCAGGCACTGAAGTTTTTTTCACATCTAAATAAAATCTCTGAACAAACTCGACGAAAAGAAAAAACGGTCAAATAGGCAAAAATAGCTGCAGAAGATGTTGATTGTCTAATGGATTTGAATAATCTTCAAGTAAGTGAAAGACGTTATGTAGATTATCCAGATAAAAAAATCTTATAGGCCTACTTATATATTTAACAGCGCACATTCAAGCTCATGACATTTCATAAAACATCCTATAAGGGTAGCATAATGAGTGGTATACATTATAAAATAATATGACAGAAATGATACATGTGACTTAAGACAATTAATAAAAACAATGAAGGTAAATCATAAACTGAGCTGGTCAAGAATACCCCTGCAGGTATACAGACAGAAATATAATATCAGGAGTACATAACTGTACCACAAGAGGGCAACATTCTGTTTTTTGAAATGCAGACCATGAAGCCCTCTTATAAATCAATAGTTTTCTAAAATTCCCATAATAATAATTATTGTCAAAATATTATTAGCTGAACATTTTAATAACTGCATTTTCTCTCATTCGTTTATATCTATCTATCTATCTATCTATCTATCTATCTATCTATCTATCTATCTATCTATCTATCTATCTATCTATCTATCTATCTATCTATCTATCTGTCTGTCTGTCTGTCTGTCTGTCTGTCTGTCTGTCTGTCTGTCTGTCTGTCTGTCTGTCTGTCTGTCTGTCTGTCTGTCTGTCTGTCTGTCTGTCTGTCTGTCCGTCCGTCCGTCCGTCCACCCACGCACGCACGCACGCACGCACGCACGCACGCACAAACACACACACACACACACACACACACACACACACACACACACACACACACACACACACACACACACACACACACACACACACATATATATATATATATATATATATATATATATATATATATATATATATATATATATATATATATATATAAGAAAAATAAGTAAAAACAAATTGTAAGCACATCCACTGCGTAAACAACATCAGGGTTCATTCCACTGTGGCAACCTCTGATAAATTAGAGACTAAGACCAAGGAAAATAAATCAAGGAATGAATGAATATTCCACAGTCCTATCAAAACTTTCTTGTGACCTACTGACCCTGGACCTCAGTTAAAAAATTCTGGGATAAAAGATCGAGTCCCGAAACTAAAATTATTTAAATATACAAAAAAAAACAACAAACTGAAAAAACCCTAATTATGTTAAATACAATTATTGATCTATCTATGTATAAATGTGCTATCTAACAAGGAGAAGGGCTAGCTTTTGTTTCATACACCCTGTTTTGTTTTGATAAGATACTGCAACAATGAGCAATGACATCACTGACAAGCCCAGAAAGCATTAATATTGTTGTTGTTAACATAGACACACACATTTAGAAATAATGAATCACTTTACGGTTTAGAAAAGCAGTAGTTGAAGTCAGAATTATTAGCCCCTAGGTAATTTTCCCCTCAATTTCTGTTTAACAGAGAGAAGATTTTTTTCAACACATTTCAAAACATAATAGTTTTAATAACTCATTTCTAATAACTGATTTTTTTTAATCTTTGCCATGATGACAGTAAATAATATTTGACTACCTTTTTTTCAAGACACTTCTATACAGTTTAAAGTGACATTAAAAGGTTTAACCAGGTTAATTAGGTTAACTAGGCAGGTTAGGGTAATTAGGCAAGTTATTGTATAACAATGATTTGTTCTGTAGACTATAGAAAAAAATATATAGCTTAAAGGGGCTAATAATTTTGTTTAAAAAAAATAAAAACTGCTTTTATACTAGCCAAAATGAAACAAATAAGACTTTCTCCAGAAGAAAAAAAAAAAATCAGACATACTGTGTCCTTGCTCTGTTAAACAAAAAAGAAAAAAAAAATCAAAGGGGGGCTAATAATTTTGACATCAACTGTGTATGGTTGTGTGTGTATGTGAGAGATTAATTTCTATTTCACTCTTAAATCTGTAGCACAATATACAAATAATACAAAAGCTTTTAAGGCAATCCATTAAAATACATATAGTTGATTTCCGTAAGTGGAAAAATGAGCATGATCATGTTATGACCTAAGATACTTTCAACCTCAACCAACAAATAAAATCCTTAAACAACAATCTGGCATCTTCAGCCAGCATCACGTACTGACCGTACAAGAACAGCAGTACGTCAGAGTTTCAGAGGGGATGACGAGTTTTGAGGTTGCGAGTGTTTGAATCACCGATGAAGTCCTGAAGCGGGGTGTGATCTGAGCTGAGCTGAGGAACAGCTGTGGTTCATTACATCTGCAGAGGGATGTTCTATGTCAAGCTCAGCCTGACTATAAGTTCCAGCTCCTCAATGAACTCTCAGTTCGGGAGGAGAGCAGGTCAAGAAGAAGGTGAAAAAACCTGTGTAAAGATCCGCCAGGTTAAACAGGTATGTGAATAACACTGACTGATTCAATATGATTTACATAGAGATTTTTATATACATTATATATAATCATATCTAATACAGAAAAAGAAAAATACCTATTTACAGGATTTCACAGGTATGGGTTTGAGTAAAATATTATTATTGTTTTATTCTATAAAGAGATGAAAACATTTCTTCTGAAATTCAGATAAAATATTGTTATTTCAGCATTTTCCCCAGAAAAAAATGAGAATTGAGGAACACCTTTTGTTATTTGATGTGATTAGAAATCAAGATTATTTCAGAAAATATTGGTACTGACTCTTCTGAAATTAAGTGCATTTGTATTGTGCTGACTAATACTTAATATATGAAAACACCTTTTTATTTTATGCAAAATGCTCTGTTTTGCCATATTAAAAATTTAAATAATATGTAAAAAATGTAGTTTTTATTCAAACACATTACTTAAACTAACAATCAGAAATGTACTTTTTGAATGTAATAGCTGCAATATTTGTATTATTGTATTATTATTTGTATTGTTGATATACAGTATATTTATTTTTCATATCATGTAAATATTAAAACCAGTGTATATATAAATAAATATTCAAATTAGTCTGAAAAAAACTGAAAACATTACTATTGTACTTTTGTTGAGTCCTATTGACTGTGACTAAATGATGCTGACTGCTAAAATAGAGTAACATTTTCATCATGAAAATAATTATTTTTCCCTCCCATTATTTCTAGCGTTTTAACATTAAAATGGACCTCAAGCCAGTCTTAAAGAAATTTGTGTCTCTGGTCCGAGCCTTTCTCACATTTCTCTTTGCCCTCCTGGTGCTTGGGGTGATGTTATGGGCGTACATCGATGGTTTCCAGATCGCCACATCTCCATTCGGCATCATCTCCTTCGGTTTCTATGGAGTGCTCCTCAGCCTCCACGTCCTAATCCAGAGCTTTTTTGCCTTTGTGGAGCATCGACGCATGAATGCGAGACGCAAACCTTGCTCTTACACCAAAACCATCGGCTTTACCATATCAGCCTATCAAGAGGATCCTGCTTATCTGCGTGAGTGTCTTCAGTCGGTCCGGGCTCTTCAGTATCCTTCTGAACTTCTGCGTATTGTGATGGTGGTGGACGGAAACTCAGAAGATGACCGCTATATGTTGGAGATGTTTCGTGAGGTCTTTGCTGATCAGGATCCTGGCTGTTATATATGGCAGAACAATTACCACTCATGGAACCCCAATGGGCAAGACCAGGGTGCAGCTGAAGGCCCTGATGCAGATTATGAGGTGCTGTTTGAAGACCCTCAACGCTTAGAGGTTGAAGAAATCATTAGGACCAAGAAGTGTGTGTGCATAATGCAGAAATGGGGAGGAAAGAGGGAAGTGATGTATACAGCGTTTAAGGCACTAGGATCTTCAGTGGATTTCATACAGGTCAGTGATGTGCAAGTACAAATACGCTTTAGGGATAAAAGCAACATGAGGTGTTGACATGATACTGCATTTTTACTCGCATGACAAAAATGAATATAATTAGTATTGTCATGTTGTAATTTTTTTGTTTTTACATTTTTGAGCCAAATCTCAAAATTGTGCTATAGTGTGACTGTCTAAAGCCTAATTCAATAAATTACAGCTGTTATAAAATAAAAAGAAAATTGTAAAATCATTAATACCTACCTTAGGCCTAATTTTACAAGTGGCTAGTTAAAGGCAATCTTTTTTCATCTATATTTCTAAAAACATTTTATCACTGGACCCAGCAAGCATTTCTTTCTCTTTCTTTCTTTCTTTCTTTCTTTCTTTCTTTCTTTCTTTCTTTCTTTCTTTCTTTCTTTCTTTCTTTCTTTCTTTCTTTCTTTCTTTCTTTCTCTTTCATTTATTCATTCATTCATCCATCCATCCATCCATCCATCCATCCATCCATCCATCCATTCTTTCATTCATTCTTTGTTTTTAAAAGACATCTAATATATGTCTAGACATCTAAATATAGTCATCTTAGCTAAAACAAGGCTAAATCTAATAGACGTCTAAGAAAAGGCCAAAACTAGTCTAATAAAACTAATAATCTAATAAAACAGAAACGAATGACTACACAAATAAAGTCTGCCTAATCTGTATATTTGACGACTAGCCTAGCTCTATTAGACATCTATCAAAACACAAATTTGTTTGCTGGGGAACCATGTCCTCTGGTGTGACACTGTATACTATATTTAAATCTTGATTCCATATAAAAAAGTATGATGGACCACATTCATATGACTGAAGCCCATGCAGTTTTTGTCTCAATTTTATTTATTTATTTATGTATTTATCTATTTTTTATTATTTTTACATATTTAGCTTTTGTGAAGCCTCTACAAAATGACAGAAGTTTTAGTGATTTTTGATAGTTTTGTTGTTCTTTATATATTCTGTAACATCAGACTTCAAAAATTGTTTCACAAAAAAAAAAAAAAAAAAAAAAAAGGATAGCATTTTTTACTGCCTTTTTATTTTTTTTTACTACCCACATGTATTTGTGAGAAACACTTCAACGCTTTCCATATTCTTGTATTTTTCAATCAGGTATGTGACTCAGACACAAAATTAGACCCTCTGGCCACAGTGGAGCTCTGCAAGGTGCTGGAAAGCAACCAGAAATATGGTGCTGTGGGAGGAGATGTGATGATACTTAACCTTAAAGACTCCTATATCAGCTTCATGAGCAGCCTGCGCTACTGGATGGCATTTAACATTGAGAGGTCCTGCCAGTCCTTCTTTGACTGTGTCTCCTGCATCAGCGGCCCCTTAGGTAATACAGAATATTTCCTAAAGTTTGCATGAAATCAATATTGGCGCTGTTTTTAAACTCCTCTTTTGATTGGTTTGTTTCTTAACTTTCTGACAATTAATTTCTGAAATATAAGTCAAAACGATCTAAACTGTTTAAGTATGTTTATTTTTGAGAATGTTTGAGAAAAGCCATACATTTCTTAGAGTAAACATATTATAAACATGATCCTGAACCTCAAAACCATAAGATTTTGAAAATTAAGATTTATTGATGTATTGTTTGTTAGGATAAGACAATATTTGGCTGAGATGCACTTAATTGTACTTACTATCTGGAATCTGAGGGTTCAAAAAAATCTTGAAATATAGAATATAGGGAAAAAACTCATTTAAAGTCATCCAAATAAAGTTCTTAATGGATATTAGTAATAAAAAATTAAGTTTTGATATAATTAAAGAAGAAAATTTACAAATTGTCCTCACTTTACTTTAAATAGATCATTTTGACACATTTTGACACAAGTGTATTTTCATTTTTTTCCAAAATATACTGTACCTGTTCAACTTAATGTTGTCCAATGTCACATATCCAGTATACATGTAAGTTTTAGTAAGATTGCTCAGCAGTATTTTGTTGTTTCTGAAAATTAACTGGTTTTCTTGATCTTTGATTCAGGTCTTTACAGGAATGACCTGCTGCAACAGTTTCTCGAATCCTGGTACAACCAGAAGTTTCTTGGCACTCACTGTACTTTTGGAGATGATCGCCATCTCACCAATCGAATGCTAAGCATGGGCTATGCTACAAAGTAAGTAGTATGGCTGAATAATTTTGTGAGTCATAAAAACAATGATCAATTATTCGTCATTAGCCCAATAAGCTCCACTTGAGCTCTGTTTAGCACATTAAAAAAAAAAAAAAAAAAAAAAAAAAAACATTCATCAATATTGACACAATAAAAGAGCTTTCTAATCAAGTATTTTATAAGTATTTATCTACACAGTATTTTCCTGCAACTCTCTTGGGAGCATTTTAGTACCTTAAGGGATATTTTAGCACCTTAAGCTAAAACATTCAAAGGTAAAAAACTAAAAATGCTACAGTAAAAATGCTTCAGTGGTGCGTACAACAACGTTTCCATATCCAGAGAAGTAAAGGAATAAATTAAAGAGTAAATACAAAGAAAAGAGGAAGTAAAGAGGCCAAATCGGGAAGGCTCATTCTTTATCCTCATTGCAGATGGTCTGTTTAACTGTTTTCTCGCTAGTGAAGCGTTCAGTTTCTGCACTTACAAAGTCTGCCATGTAAAGAGCAAATGTGCCATGGCGCAATGCAACTGAACCTTAAAGGGGATGGGACATGAGACTCTGATTGGTTTAATGCACGTTATACTCAAAACACACCATAACTCATTAAGAGAATAAGCACAACCCTGTTAGACCATGCGCCAGTGCGCAGACAGTATTTTTCAGACCTTAAAATAGCAAAATTGCATTCGGACATGACATTATGCTTTTGTGCCATGCGCTTTAGACTTTGCACCTAGAACGTTAAAAAAGAGCGTTTAATAATGTTTATTGCAATAGTGTCATTAGTGTTACCATGATGGTGTAGTTTCTCACCCACACCTCCTTGTTGTGTTTTTGTCTGTGTAACATAAGTGCATTATACAGATATTAGTACTGAAAATACCACCGTAAAATTAAAAAAAAAACTTTTACATATATTTACTAATCCACGGTATATTTTACAGTAAAATTCCAGAAACCACAGGTGCCATTTTATCAATATTTTTTAACAACAACAAAAAATATTTTGTATTGTACTTGTATATATGTAAAAATGTCTCGTCATAATTTTAGACTTATTAGGAGTGGCATTGTTACATCAGATTTATCACTTTTCTCATCTGATTGGTCAAGTTTGGGTCTGTGATTTCTAACCCAGAATAAAACTTGCTTTAGCCATGTAATGAAAGTTAACATGGCAACAAATTTGATTAAAACCAAACCATATTCTTGAGCCCAAAATCGAAACTTATCTAGTTAAAAACCTCAAACTTTGGAGTCTTTGGAGAGCTTTAGTCTGCTGAGAACCAAGCGACAATAATCCAATATGGCGTAGAAAGTGTTACTAATTGAGATTTTGTAGCAACAAACAATAGTATCCACATCATATAGTCCTGTCAACTACTTACTTAAATCACAGTTCATTTCCAACAAGCATGTTTTAACTATTGTTTTCTGTTCTCACAAGGTACACAGCCCTCTCCAAATGCTACACGGAGACCCCTGCTCAGTTTCTGCGTTGGCTCAACCAGCAAACCCGCTGGACCAAATCCTACTTCCGAGAATGGCTCTATAATGCTATGTGGTGGCACAAGCATCACCTATGGATGACCTATGAATCCATCGTCTCAGGGATATTTCCCTTTTTTGTCACGGCCACCATCATCAAGCTCTTTTGGACAGGCACTCTATGGGACATTCTGTGGGTCCTGTGCTCCATCCAGCTAATCGGGCTTATAAAGGCGGGCTATGCCTGCCTCCTACGACAAGATATAGTGATGCTGTTCATGTCCTTATACTCTGCCCTCTACATGACCAGCCTCCTGCCTGCCAAATACTTCGCCATTATCACCATGAACAAAAGCAGCTGGGGTACATCAGGTCGGCGTAAGATGGTGGGCAACTACATTCCCCTGGCACCACTTTCAGTGTGGGCGGCCATCTTGTTGGGAGGCCTGGGGTACACGATTTACAGGGAGGCCAAAAAGAGTTGGCTGACAGAAGCAAAACAAGAAGAGATCAAGTTTTTGATATTTGGAGCCGTAGCTTATGTTTGCTACTGGCTTATAATGATCTGCCTCTACTGGATTTGGTTTCGGAGATTATTCCGCAAACGCTCTCAGACTTACACTGTGAATGTTTAAGACAATTTGTTTGGGCACATTTTTTATTTATTTACGAACACTTGCACATTTTTTTAAACTCCACAGTTTACATTCAATGTTATTTATAGATTTTTTTTAACTTGCAATTTTATTTATGATGTTTTTGGTTTAGGAGATAGTAGTATTTATTATATTTTATGGAATTAGCAGCGAGTTAAGTGCCAGAAATATGAAAGTATTTAAAAATGACCACCCTGAAGTGACCAGTCTTTATGAAGTATAACAATTGTAATATATATAATAATATCAGTATTACATGTACTGATAAAAATGTATGTCTTTATGAAGTTTAACAATGACCGTGTGAAATGTGCAGAAAGTAATCAGTGATAATAGAACATTAAATCTAAATAATAGATTCTGTTGTTAGTGAAGGGATTTGAACACCAATTGGACTTACTGAAGTGATATTCATGTACTGTTGAGATGACCAAGGAAACACTAAGAAATCCTGTTACAACACTTCTTGACACATTATTTATAGTCCTGAGTTAAAAACCTAACACAGTGAACAGCACTGACCATGAATTTGCAGAATGACTACTAACAAAAAAGTGATTGTGCAGGAATTTCCTAATGTTTATTGTAATAAGTGTTCATTTTTCTGATAACGTCACAGTGACAGGGCATTTTATGTTGTATTTTAGCACTTGAAAGAGGTTTGTTATGTCTGTATTTATTGTGAAATATGTTTTGTTAATGTGAACTCACAAATATTTATTGAAACAACATACGATTAAATGAACTATTTTTTTAAACAAAGATGTGTGGCATTTATTTCAAACCTATTTACTGACAAAACTACTAAATGACACTATTTATCTGATTAAACTAAAAGAAACACTATATTTAATTAAATTCATGTTTATTTATATAGCGCTTTTACAATGTGAATTGTGTCAAACCAGCTAAACATAGAAGTTCTAGTAAATTGAAATTGTGTCAGTTCAGTTTTCAGAGTTTAGTTTGATAAAGAGAATAAAGAAAGTAATTAACGTAGCTGCTGTTCATAGTATATTTAAACAAAAAATGCAAAAATGAAGTGCTATACATGAAAACAGCAGTTATATAAACAAACAGAAACAAACATGTCTAGCATATGAGCATTTCTAATAAGATGTCTTGTGCATTAAGACAGGAGGAGTGTGTCCTACAGGTGGTCGTTAAGCTCACTCGTCTGCAAGGAGCACACTCGTGCATCATACTGTTAAGTGATGCATTAAGTGTATGCTTTACTAACAGATAGGTCTTTAATCTAGTTTTGAACTGAGAGAGTTTGTCTGAGCCTCGGACATTATCAGGAAGGCTATTCCAGAGTTTAGGAGCCATAAATGAGAAGACACGACCTCCTTTAGTAGACTTTGCTATTCTGGGTTCTACCAGAAGCCCTGAGTTTTGAGATCTTAAAGATGAGGTGACTGTGGACTCTTCTTGAAGATTAGACAGAGTGAGACATTTAGGATTGAAGAGAACTGAATAATAATGTTTTATATGATTTATGTTTGTAGCTACATGTTTGTATGTTTTTCTAATCTATGGTAGACCCATAATGTTATATTGTACAAAAAAATTAAAGATCATTCCGAATTTTTTTTTTTTGCTATAACCGCTTAGTTATGTCATGTTCTGGGAAACCTTAAATTGTTTGGTGGACGTCAGTCATTGTAACTTTTATTTCCTGGTTTTGTTCTGGAAATTAATCACTAACAAATTAAGCACTGGGTATAGGATTAGGATGTACAACCCAACCCCAATAAAAAAAGAAAGTAATGATTTCCAAATTTACTTTGACTCGTATTTCATTTCAAAATGAACACAATATATTTCATGTTTTGTCAGGTCAACTTTATTTCATTTATAAACATCTTTTCCTGTCATTTAGACCTGCAACACATTCCAAAAACAGTTAGAAATGAAGCAATTTAGAGCTAGCAATCAGGCAACTTTGTTAAATAATGGTGTGATTTGAAACAGGTGATGTCAACAGGTGATTGTAAATATGATTTGTTATAAAAGCAGCATCCAAGAAAGGTCTAGTCATTTAAGAGCAAAGATGGGCAGAGGATTACCAATTTACCAACAAATACATGAAAAAAATTATTTAAATGTTTAAAAACAACGTATCTCAAAGAAAGACAGGAAGAAATTTGGATATTTCGCCTTCCACAGCGCATAACATTTTTTAACAAGATTTAAGGAATCTGGACAAATTTCGGTGTGTAAACGACAAGAGCGCAAGCCTAAGCTGAACTACTGTGATCTCTGATAATCAGGTGGCACTGCATCAAGAATCACATTCTGTCACACCCCTGGTTTGATCACGTCGCCTTTGTTTATGTTCTCATGTCATGAGCACGCGTGGATGTTTTGTTTTGGTCTGTCACCATGTGATCACCGTAATATTCCTCCCTCCCCCTTGTTACCTTATTTTATTATTATTATGATTTAATTGGTCTCACCTGGATTCAGTTATGCTCCTTCCCCTATTTAGTTCCCTCTTGTGTGTCATCCTGTGTCAGATCGTTGTGTGTCAGTCCGTGTAACTGTCTTCCGAGTTGTCTCTCTAGTCCTGTCATGTTGGTTGGTGTTTTCCCTTCCAGTTGTGTTTCGCCTGGCCGTCATCTAGCCTCTAGCGCTCTGTCCTTCTTGTGAATGTTCCCTCTTGGCTCATATCCCTCTGTTCTCAGGCACCGTCATCCCCTCCGCACTGAGTTCTCCGGCATCACCTGCCACCCGGCTTCCCCTCTCCCTCGCTCGATCTCCAGGGTCACATCCAAAACAGCCGGGCCATAGTACGCCCTCTACCGGAGGAGTTTGTAAGGACATTCTTTTCTCTGTATATTTTTCGCTGTCTTAACCCCGGCCGTTTTTTGTTGTTCTTCTCCTTGTGTGCAGCGTTCCACTGGCCGAGAGACTCTGAAATTTTTTTATTTTTTCTTAACTAACCCGGTAACGGAGGAGGCCCTAAAGACTTTGTTTGATCTTTGGATTTTTGTGTTATTTTTTGGCTGTTATTTTGTGACCCTGACTACTGTTTTTGCTGTTCATTAAAATCTTTAATTTGAACCTGCATTTGTTTCCTTCAAGTCCCATTCCTGACAGTACGATCTGACCATAGAATGGACGCAGCAGGTTCTGACACGGTCAGAACCGCAGTCACCCAGCAGGGTGCAGTCTTAGGCCAGCATGAGGCTAGATTAACTAACACCACCAGGGAGGTGGAATTCCTGGCAAATCAAGTGGCAGAACTAACTGCACACGTCCAGGACCTACAGCATGAGGCAGTCCAGGGGGGCCCTCCCCGTCATCACGAGCCTGAGCCCAGTTGCAACAACCCTCCACCCTATAACGGAGACCCTAATTCTTGTAGAGCCTTTTTGTCTCAGTGTGCAGTGGTTTTTACCTTACAATACCGCACTTATGCATCTGAGAAATCCAAAGTGGCGTTTGTATTGACCCTCCTCACCGGTAAAGCTCGAGACTGGGGAACGTCAGTGTGGGAGACTAGAGCCCCTTGCTGTGCTTCGTTTGAAGATTTTCGCCAGGAGATGGTGAGATTATTTGACCGATCAGTCTGGGGCCAGGAAGCAGCGGACCAGCTGGCACGTCTATGCCAGGCAGGACAATACGTTACGCAATACGCCATCGCCTTCAAGACTCTGGCGGCATCCTGTGACTGGAACGAGGGCGCGTGCAGGTCTATGTTCCGTGCCGGAGAGTGGAGGATACCCGTCCAGTCTTGGCTGCAGAAGCGCCTGGTTCTGCTCCCATGAATCCGGAGCCCATGCAAGTAGGGCGTCTTCGTCTCACCCCACTGTAGAGACAGCAACGCTTCGTCCAGGGACTCTGCCTTTACTGTGGGAAGCCTGGACATTTTGCTGTAGCCTGTCCACTTAAACGCCAAGCCTCACCAGTGAAGAGGGGGCTACTGGTGAGCACTACCCCTTTCCTACATTCCTCCTCCAACTCTCTTCTTCCTGTTCCTGTACACTTCAGTGATTCCTCTAATTCTTGTTCAGCCCTGGTTGACTCGGGGGCTGAAGGAAATTTTATGGACTCCTCCCTAGCTGTTTTGTGGGGAATTCCTGCTATCCCTCTTCCTGATCCTATCCCTGCTCGCTCCCTCAACGGCTACCTTATAACCACTGTTTCCCATTCTACCCCACCTGTTAACCTGTTTCAGGCAATTATCACGAGGTGACCACTCTGTTGCTTCTGGAGTCCCCGAGTGCCCCCATAGTGTTGGGGCACTTGTGGTTAGTAAAGCATGGTCCTCATGTTGATTGGTCTGGTAATGCCATTTTATCTTGGAGCCAATATTGCTTGTCTTCTTGTCTGGGCAGTGCCCCTTTTCCTGTTTCTGTGTGCTCTGTGTTACAGGCAGAGGCTGCTGATCTGACTGGGGTCCCAGTGGAGTACCACGGCCTGCGCCAGGTGTTTAACAAGTCCCGGGCCACTTCCTTGCCTCCTCACAGACCGTAGGATTGTGCCATTGAGCTCCTCCCAGGCACTTCTCCGCCTAAGGGACACTTGTTTTCCCTTTCTGGTCCAGAGAGAGAGGCTATGGACAGGTACATTAATGAATCCCTTAAAGCCGGTCTCATCCGAACCTCCTCGTCTCCTGCAGGTGCTGGATTCTTCTTTGTTAAGAAGAAGGATGGCTCCCTGCGTCCATGCATTGATTATCGAGGGCTTAACGACATTACCGTTAAAAACAGGTAAATACCCCTTACCTCTCATGTCGTCTGCTTTTGAGCTGTTGCAGGGAGCCAAGGTTTTCACCAAACTTGACCTCAGGAATGCCTATCATCTTGTCCGCATACGTGAGGGGGATGAGTGGAAGACAGCCTTTAACACCCCTACGGGACACTTTGAATACCGGGTCTTACCGTTCGGTCTGACCAACGCCCTGGCTGTCTTTCAGGCCCTGGTTAATGATGTGTTGAGAGACATGGTTAATCGTTTTGTCTTTGTGTATCTCGATGATATTTTGATCTTTTCCCCGAGCCTGCAGATACATATTCAACACGTACGCCAGGTGCTACAACGGTTGTTGGAGAACCAACTTTATGACAAAGCGGAGAAGTGCGTTTTCCATGCTCAGTCAATTCCGTTT